TCTCGTCAGTTGTAATAAAAACTGAGTTTCCAAAGTTTACTTCTTTTAAGTACATCCCAAATGCATTCATCATAGTATACTCATCTCTGTAACTTCCATCTCCTTTAAAACCATTCTTTTTGCCCTTTCACATTTCTTGAAGTTAGCATTTATCCTAAGCTCATTATAAGAAAATGTCATCATGTTTTTACATTTTATGAAAGGAGTGGCATAAATTTTGCTTTTGAAGTACTCACCCACCATCTCACAAGTCGTTATCTTGTTGTCAAGATTTCTAAAGCAAGTGTGTTCAAGGTAGGAAGTCTTTACCTTGAAATTGTTGTCCCTATTCTCAAATGAAGTATAAATCTCCCAACTGCACAAACCAGCCTTGCAAACAAACCTCTGCCTTTTAGGTTCATCCCTGATGTGTATAAGAGAACATCCTTTCCTCAGAATAATGTTTGACTACTTCCTAAAATTGTTTGAAACTTTGAAACCTCATTCCAACTTAAAAAATAGGGACCTCCTAAGTAGGATTAAAGTAGACATTTATAACTCTTGTTGATCTATCTGCTACCCCAGGAGCAGAAAAATGACATCTTCAAAATCTATTGATAAGTCCCTCAACTTGCCAGCATCATCACTTGGAGCATATTCACTATCTCTCCCATCATTATCACTGTATATGTCCTCATCATCATTATGAACTGGAACTGATTGGGATGGATGTACTAGACCTCCCTTCTTCCTTTTTTTAAGGGTCAAGTCCTTCCCCTTGTATGACTTCCTACTTTGTAGCAATGCTTTATATCTCTTCTCTGTAAGCTTGCCCTTTCCCTTTCTCCTTCTGGCCTTCTCAATAGAATCTATTGGAACCCCTTTGCTTGTGGATGTTGTAGTTGGATCTGTTGCTTTCTTTGTGGGAGTAGACATAGGAATAGATCTAAGAATAAGTTTCTTTGCAACAGTTTTGTACATGACTCTGTTCTTGGTGTTGGAAAACCTGGAGGAACTTCTAATCCTTCTGTTGATCTTCTTAGAGACCTTGCAGTAACTTTTATAGCAATGGCTTCATTATCATCTCTGTCACTACCATCAACAGGATCTACTTCATCTGTTGATTTCCAATTATCAACAAAACACTCTTCTTCATAACCACCTCTATTACTGCATTCACTTCTTTCATATGAATTTTCAAATTTACCCTTATTACCACCAATGGCCCTGTCTTGGGTTATGTTCCCTATGTCACCTTCCTCTTCTTCCTCATTAACTTCATTATTACCATTTGGGTCTACCCTATCTTGTGGTCCCCAATCCTCCTAAACTATATTATTATCAATCCAACCTATTGCTAGAGGAGTAATTTAAACAAAATTAACCTCATGGTCCACATAAAACTCACATATCACCTCTTCTTTGACAATCCTCATAATATTCCTAATATTAGCATCACCTGCCAAAGACTTTAAATACCTACGCATGCTTGCTAACATTCTTTTGTAGTAAACATTTTTAATCATAACGTCATAAACCTACTATGAAATTCATAATGACATCAACATTCAACCTATCATAGTCAAATGCCTATTCTGCACATATTCCCCCTTTGTACTCAAATGAAGGTCTAACCACGAATGTCCCCCCATGGAAAATAGACAAAATCCCTCAGTATTCATTTGCTATTCTGGTCAATGGTAATACAAACTAAAATTAATGTGATTCATCAATAATAAAATATATTATATAATTGACAAAATGCACATGCATCCAACACTTACAGTCAACAACAAACTAGAAAACTTTATAAACAAACATTTTCTAAGAGAAAGCAACTGCAAAGGCTTACTTTTACTATGTCCTTCACCTTGAACTCCACCACCAACTGCAACACTGAGTGTGCAAAGGCCCTAAAAGCTTCAGTATTTTCTTGAGATTCGCCAGAAATAGTTGAACCAACTCTCGTCCCGTACTCAAAAGTGAATTCAATCCAAAGATTTCTTTGAGAAATGAGTCTTTGATTTTTTGCCACAAATCTGAGCAAAGACTTAGGTTTTCCTTCTTCCTTTTTAGGGCTAAATGGGGTCCATGACAAAAAAAGGGGAATAAAAGGTGACACAGTGTTTAAAAAAGAGTGAGATTGGTACACATCAGCTTCCAACGCGTAAAAAAATGACACGTTGGCACGAGCTAAACGGAGATCATGACAGTGATGACGTCAGCAATTAAATAATTAGTGATTTAGATCAGTCGATAATTTTTGGGGACCAAATGTCCCTTCATTTTTGTGAGGGTGGATCCATACCCACCCATCCTTTTTAAGAGGCAATTTGAGGGTTCTGCCTATTTTCCGTGTAGTATTCAAGCAAAAAATAAAAGCTGACAAAATTGAAATCCAGCAGAAGAAACCTAGAACAACTTCACACGTATAAGAACAGCAAAACTAGGAAAACCAACCCCCTCTTCCTGTTCTACTCCTTCCCTTTTGTTTGGCAGGTTATCTGTCACTGGCATAGGTAAAGGTTGTGGGAGAGATTTTGCAATATCTCCATATTGTGGCTGTCAAAAAATTTAGAAGAAACAGCCAATGAGTGAACTGAATGCTTAATATGTAAAAAACCAAAAGGAATCCTCCATTGCATAAGTAAGAAATGAAAAGCACTCAAATAACGATACAAACCTGGCTTTCCTCAGGAAAACTATTTCTAAACCATGAGCCGCAAAGTGCATAAAGAGAAGAAGTCCCATTTGTTATTCTGACCTGCATTACAAAACACAAGAAAGAGCAGAAATAAAAGAAATCACTGCATCCACTGTAAACTCACAGTTCCATGGGATTTCCCAAAAAGAACAGGCCAAACAAGCCAAAACATTTTCTCATAAGATGAATGCTCCATACAGCTAGAATGAAACCAGAAAGCAGTTAGCAGTGACAATAAACATGCACAACCATCTAGAAGACTAGATGAAACAAGGTCAGCTTACTTTCCGATTTCTTATATTGATAAGGCTTTTGTCTTTGTTTCTATCCCTACAAAAAGAGAAGATAGGCAGAAAGTTAACACTATGCATCACATTACAGTTGTAAATAGGAAGCAATACAAAGATGAGAAAGGTACTCCATGTTTTTATATCCATTATTTTTGGAAACAGAAGATGATGACTGATCAACCTACAATAAGCAAACCTTAAAAAATTGCAGAAAGCTAGACAGGCTCTATAGCAGACAATTTGGACACAATAAGGATGAAAAAGTTATCATAATCCAGGTTGCCATTAGCAACAAGGCTTCATGCATTCCTTAATTGTTTCCTGCTCCTTTATGAGACATAGATGGAATTTATATCTCATATGCTTGAATTATTGTAGAATCATAGTAGCAAGAATGTATCCAATGACTCAACAACTAAAACAATCACAATTTCTTGAAGACAAAACCATCATCAACAAATCAAAACCACTATGATTGTACAGTACATCATACAAGAAAAACATCAGATCCATTACCTTTGTGTGCACTGGAATAGGAATCCCTTTAACTGCTTCCGGGCCAACCCCACCAACATGAGGGAGCTGCTGCAAGAAGTGGACAGGGGTAGGAGGACAGGGATAATCAACAAGAGATCTAGCAGAGTACAAGTTGGGGTTCACAAGGGTGACTCTCTGATCAAAATATTTGCATTTCTGCCAACCAAAAGCTCCTTTCTCGTTCCTGTTAGCAACTTGTAGTTAACTTCATTCTGTGAATAGAAAACAGAGCTTAGCATATGAGCCTAAATTTGTAAATAAAAAGGTTGATCAAGTAGCAATAGCTAAGTAACAAGATGTTATTATTTACAACAATAAAACAAAGCTAGCTCAAATTGGCCCTTAGACTATTACCAATATGCGATAAACATAAAAGCCAATGCACCAGAATAAATATAATAACCTTACATCTGGGCCTTACATAGAGTTGCAGTCAACTTCAAAGTGATATCTTCATAAGCTTTTTCTTGTTGTATGTCAATAAGTCCATAACTCTTCAAAACCTGTATTTAGTCAACGAATATCAAGAGGGCATTATATTACAATAAAATTGAAATGGGTGTCTCGATGCTTTTAAAAATAGGGAACATTTATGAGAACCCTATGTTTGAAAGAATTAACAGATGTTCATCCAAATGAAGCAAGCATATATTAAAGGGTTGAGTTGAAACATACCAATGTCTCATAAAAAATTCAAGCACATAATTTTCTTGTTTTTCCTTCTAAGATCTTATTCAAACTGAGATCTCCAGATGAGTTTTCTGAGATAGCAGTGATAGGTGACTGCTTCTTCAAATAGTGAGCCACTGCTCTGCATAGAAGAAATGCAGAATATATATTACGGGCCACTCAAGGCATATAACCTTAAGAGCAAAGTTTCTTTCATTCAAGAAGAGGCACCTGGTTCTCACAGACAAGGAATCTAGTCCTTGACTTGCTTGGAACTCTGCAACAGGTGTACAAAAAGTTATTTTCATGCATATGGATGGGGAAAAAAATTTATAAAATTAAAAGGGTATTCACATATCAGTTGGGGAATCATTATCATCTTCAAGAAAGTAAAGATCCTACAATATAACTTGATGGAATTAAATGCACAATCTAAAATGATGATGCTTGAGATTCTTGAAAACAAAGGCACATCATTATATCATTTCAAAAGCAGCAAGATATTGAAGCTTACATTTGCTTCTGCAGAACACAGCATCTCAGGAATTTCTGAAAGACCTGTGCTTCCCAGAACCAGTCCCTCATCCAAGAATGTCCTTGGTGTTTCAAACTCAGATCCATGAGTTCCAGTGGATGCTGCAGCATCTGGTGTTGGAAGTAACCGAGGTATTGTCTCTGATCTTAAACTGTTAATTGATAGTGGATATGAATCATCCCTTGCAGAACACATTGGCCTAGATGGGGAGGGCTCAAAATCATGTAAAATATTGTTGTAAGCACTGCCTTGGTCATCTTGAAGATATTCAGTTTCCCTGTCAATTTCAGGCACTGCAACTTGAGGTCTACCAACCATATGCTCTGGGCTAGCTTCAGTTGCAGTTGCAGTTGCAGTTCCAGCAGCAGGAATCTGCAAATTGCCAGCCTCTGTGCTTGGAGCAGGAGATTGTAAAATCCTAGGACTTGAAACAGCTTCCTGTAGTACAGCTAAATTGGGTTTTGCAAAGGTGTAGCCCTCTCAAACATTTCAGATATATCAACACACAACCCTGCAAGTACACAGTATCCATGTTCTCATCAAACCTATTCCTTAAACCTTGAAGCGAAGATGCAAGAAAAAATCTGAAGATGAAGGATCATCTTACCTGTTACTGAAGCCCCATGAAATAATTGTGTTCCTTTCTGAGAATGTTATTTGACTTCCATACAGCCAAAGCAGAGGCACGTACATTCCTTCTCTTCTGTACTAGATCACTAGAATCTTCAAGTGCCTTCTTCAT